GAGAGAGAGAGAGAGAGAGAGAGAGAGAGAGAGAGAGAGAGAGAGACAGAGAATGAGAAAGACAAAGAGAATGAGAATGTGTATTAAATGCATTTACATATATGTATGCATGCCCACACACGTACGAATACACATGCGTAACACTCCTGCATATTGTTTATTAACCCCCTCCTGCCCCCACTCTTCCTCCTGAAGCGGGGAAACGCTTCAACAAGGCGAAGGTGTTCAACGTGGGCTTCGCTCTCGCCCTCAAGTACGGCCCCCACGACTGCTACGCCTTCCAGGACATCGACTGTCTGTCCGAGGACGACCGCAACTTCTACTACTGCGCTGACCAACCTCGCCACCTCGGGTCCTCAGTCTCCAGGTTTAATTATACGTGAGTTAGCATGTGTTCAGTATTTGTGATTAAAGTGTAGTGACATCATTTTTGTTATGATATTGTTTGTTGTGCTTTACTTCACTGAAACTTATAATTTGATTGATATAAAAAGTGGATTATCATTCGAATCATTTTTGCAAACTTATAATCAATCATGTACGGTGTATTATTTGTCTGATACCTTTCTCTTCCACCCTTCCTCCCCTCCACATCCTCTCACTTCCCCTCCACCCACCTTCCATCACATCCTTCGACACCCCTCGAATCCAGGTCTTCGCCCAGCACATCGGCTGCTCTTGCCTCATGACGGAGTGGCAGGTGCGGAAAGTCAACGGCTGGAGCAACCGGTACTACGGCTGGGGAGCTGAGGACGACGACATGTACCGCCGGATAAGGGCCGAGGGGATGGAACTCTGGCGGTTTCCCAAGCATTCGGCGGCATACACGACGCTCGAGCACCCTCAGGCTGCGGAGAACCCGGACAGGTGAGGGAGGGAGAGGAGAGGAGAGAAAGGGGGGGGAGCAAGGGAGAACTCGGACAGGTGAGGGAGGAGGGGGAGGAGGAGGAGGAGGAGGACGAGAGAAAGGGGGTGGGAGAGCAGGGGAAGGAAGGGGAAGGGAGAACTCGGACAGGTGAGGAAGAGGAGAGAAAGGGGGAGGGGGCAGGGGAAGGGAGAACTCGGACAGGTGAGGGAGGTGGAGGAGGAGAGAAAGGGGAGGGGGAGAGCAGGTAGGGGTGGAGGGGAGGAGGGAGGGAGGGGGAGACGCTTCAGACAGAGGTAATGGCAAATTGCATTACTTTAGTTCTGTAGTTATTTAGTTGTGTGGTGGTAAAGTTCTGGAAACTTAGATGTTGAGTTATTCAGTTGTGTGGCGGTGAAGCTTTGACAACTTAAACGTTTGTTTAGCTGAAACGTTTAGTCCTGAGGTGGTAAAGTTTTGGAAACTTGATCGTTTAGCTGAAAAGTTGTTTAGTTCTGAGGTGCTAAAGTTTTGGAAACGAATATTTGTTTAGCTGAAAAGTTGTTTAGTTCTTAGGTGGTAAAGTTGTGGAAACTTGATTGTTTAGTTAAAAAGTTATTTAGTTGTGAAGTGTTTAGCTAAAAAGTTATTTAGTTGTGAGGTGGTAAGGTGTAGCAGGTTGAATGTCTGTATAACTTAAGTTGTAAGGTGAATATCATCTAGTTATAATACAATATAATGGTTATTAAGATATAATCGCATTTTCTTTTTTAGTTGAATAGGTATTCGACTTTGAAGACAAAACGTGATAGCAAATTGTATATTTTGTTGGAATAGAAAAAAAAATGTTAAGAGAAAGTTATTACAATTTGCTTTATGCCTCCTTACCTACATCTATGTGCTTGTATGTTCGTTGGAAAAAATGTGTGGTACGCTGTCAGATGATATTTTTACTTAAGCATCTTATATCATCTGAGTAAATGCTCCTATTTTCTCTCCTTTTTATTTTTTCAATATTTTTTCTATTCCATCTTATTATTTAGCACTTTTATTTTGTATATATTTTTTAATTAAAGACGTTTTATTGTTCTTCATAACATTAGTCTAGAATGATAATAGTATTAGAATAGTTGATTCATTTACGTTTGCTACTTTGTGTTAGCAATCATTTCATTTTTCAGTTTTTAAACACTGTATTTCTTTACTTTGTATAGATTTTTTTTTTCAAATTTATGAGCGTATTTGCAAACAAGTACATGCACATAAACAGAAAAAGAAAGAAAACAAATATTTTGTATGTACTTATACATCTTCTTAAAAATGTATCCACACACACACACACACACACACACACACACCACCACACCCACACACCCACACCACACACACACACACACACACACACACACACAAAAAAAAAAAAAAAAAAAACGCAATTTCTATTTCTATTTCTACGAACCAAAACGAAATGAACGAACACTAACTCTCCCCACAGGTTCGAACTCCTCAAGAGATCAGTCCGAAACTATAAGAAAGACGGCCTGAGTTCGCTCGAATTCACAGTGGTCAAGATCGAGAAGAAACCCTTGTACACCAAATACCACGTCGATGTATAATGTATATCAGAATGTATTGGTTTATTTACTTATCATTCAAAAGTGTATTTTTTTTATTTTGATTTTTTTATTTCTTTCTTTTCTTTTTCTTTCTTTTCTTTTCTCTTTTTTTTCTTTCTTTCTTTCTTTCTTTCTTTCTTCTTTCTTTCTTTCTTTCTTTCTTTCTTTCTTTCTTTCTTTCTTTCTTTCTTTCTTTCTTTCTTTTCTTCTTTCTTTCTTTCTTTCTTTCTTTCTTTCTTTCTTTCTTTCTTTCTTTCTTTCTTTCTTTCTTTCTTTCTTTCTTTCTTTCTTTTTCTTTCTTTCTTCATTTATTATTTATTTGTTTGTTTATTTGTTTATTTATTTATTATAAGTATAAAACAATTGTGACTAAGGATAACTGCTTATTGTTTTAATCTTTGCTATTTTGTTTTGTTGTAGTAAAGATAATGGTAATGAAAAATATGGTAATGATTATAAAGACAAAATAAGGTAGATTATAAAGTTAAATTGGTTATGGTAGTAATGATATTGATAGTAATGAAAAATAATATAAAGATAATGATGATAACTCAAACTATTTTTATTGCTGTTATTATAAAGGGTGTTATTATTGTTATCATAATTGTTATTATTATTATTATTTTTATTATCATGATAATCATTATTGATATCATTATCTTTATTATTATTATTGTTTTCATTAGCATTATCATATTATCTTTGTTATTTATATTATAATTATCATGTTATTATTATTATTATTATGATTATGATTATGATTATTATGATTATATTATTATTATTATTATTATTATTATTATTATTATTATTATTATTATTATTTATTATTATTATTATTACTACTACTACTACTACTTTTATTATTATTATTATTATTATTGTCATCATCATCATTATTATCATTATTACTATTACTAGTGTTATCTTTATTTTTTACTATTATTACCATCATCATTAGTGCCATTAACACACACACACACACACACACACACACACACACACACACACACACACACACACACACACACACACACACACACACACACACACAGCTGCATACATATGACATATCATTATCACTACAATGTTTATCAATCACATCAAACATTGTTCATTGTTCATTGTTCCGTTTGAAGTATTATCAGTTTTATGGATTTGATTTTAGGAATTGATAAAGAGATTGCAAACCAAATTAATATCTTCGTAGTTTCTGCTTTATTGTTATTACTATCATCATCATCATCATTATGATTATTAACGTTATTATTATTATCATCATCGTTATTATTATTATTATTATCATTATTATTATTGTTATTATTATTATTATTAGAATTATTTATCATCATCATCATCACCACAATGATTATCATAACAGTCATTATCATTATCATTACTAATGACATTATCATTATTATGATTACTTTTATTAATTTTGCTTTTTATCCATAATATTACTATGATTGTTATTATTTCGTTTACTGTTTTTTTCTGAATTACTTTTGTTAATTACTATTATTATGAATACAGATATCATTGAAATCATCAATATCATTACGAGTATTACTCTTGATATTTTTCCTACCTTTACTGATGTCATTTGAAATATTGTTATTACCTTTGTTGCATTGTTTGTAATTGTTATATTCTTGCAATCATTATTTTCATAATTACTGAATATTTTTTATCAATTTTGCGTTTATTGTTTGTGACAATGATAAGCATAACCATTGATAATACTATCACAAAATAACCTCCCTCTCCACACACGTACACGCACCACACACACAACACACACACGCACACGCACACCCACGTACACGCACACGGACACGTACACGGACACGTACACGGACACGCACACGCACACTCACACGCACACACAGACACACAGACACACACATACACACACACACACACATATATATTACATATATGTATTACATATATACATATATATATATGTAATATATGTATATATATTTATATATATATATATATATATATATATATATATATATATATATAATATATATATATATATACATATGTGTATATATGTATATATATATATATATATATATATATAATATATATATATATATATATATATATATATATATATATATATATATATGCAAGAACCTCTGAGTTTCGGGTCTCTTTCCGGTCTGATACTAATAAAATAGTTGATGTCAATACCTGCTTTTGTCTGCTGACCAACATTATGTTTTTTACAGTGAAGAACATCTGCTCTCGTGAACAACAAGAGAGTAAAAAAGAAAATGTTGAAAACATATCTTATGATATTAGTAGCAGTTATGATTGTAATGACACATGATGACAATAATGCTGACTGATGATAATAATAACATGGTTCGAGGCTAGATAGCTGAAAGATCTGAAATCTCGACCTCACTGTAGTACACGTACCGAAGCTCGTGAACGAAAACACCACACTTCTACCATAAAAAACTTTCCCTTCCGTATCAAAAACCGACAAACATCACAACAACAACAACGAAACAGACACAGAGTTTCTAATCCTTGCTCTAACCATTCATACTTCCCGCCCATTCGCTGGAAGGGCGGGCGTGCTTATCAATTTCCCGAACCGCTCCCTTTTGAAACCAGCTCTTGCTTCTGTCGCTTTTACGGTGGAATCAATGGAGCCTTTTTTGATTTCTGTGACCTCCAATATTGAGGATATGTCTGGAAGGTGTGTGGGTGATATCTATCTACCCATAAAATATATGTACGTTTTCACACACACACACATATATTTCTTTATTTATTCATTTATTTATCTATCTATATAAAAGAAACATAGATATATGTATATATACACATGCATATATACACACACACATGTATATGCGTAAATCTATCTATCTATCTATCTATCTATCTATCTATATATATATATATATATATATATATATATATATATAAATATATATATATATATATATATATATATATATATATATATATATATATGTATATATAATTACATATATATATATATATATATATATATATATATATATATAAATATACATATATATATATATATAATATATATATAATATATTACATATGTATATATAAATACACACACATAAATACCACACACACACACATACAGACACACACACACACACACACACACAACACACACACACACACACACACACACACACACACAGCACACATGTATATATATATATATATATATATATATAATATATATATATATAGATAGATAGATAGATAGATAGATAGATAGATAGATAGATAGATAGATAGATACACACACACACAGAATAACACACACACATAAACACATGCACATAACTGTGTAGTCATTCACTGATGTATATATACTTATTTATCCAAGAAATATATATGTAGATACTACCTGGAAATGATTAAAAGCAAAAACAGTATTCCCAGTTAGAATTTCTACCATATGAATTAATTCATAATAGTTATGTTGAGAAATATTAAAAATCCCGCACTCGTTCATCCATGACCGACAGACATTTTTTGCAATACTGCAACCGAAAAATTTATTAAATTTTTTGCATACCAAAACCGTGTTATTTATGTTCCATATTCCTGAATTGTTCCTGAAAAAATGCACAGTCACACACAGCCTTTTTGCCAAGTGGAAGGTCTAAAATACTACAATTTTTTATTACATTCATTCTGTTTGAGAAGATTCGAACTGCCCATATAAAGTAACAATAATGTGACCTAATTTATTTCAAATTTATTATTTATGGATAGGCGTGGAAGCTGGTTATCATCATATATATTAGAATCACCAATATCAATAACTCAACAGCGCTGGTAAGATAATAATTAAATGATAATCTCAATATTCCAGTTATCAGCAACAGTAATGATAACTATATCAATGATGATCATGATAACAGTGATAATAGCGTTGATGATGTAAAAATAATAGTGATGGTAAATAATAATTATGGTTATAGTGAAAACAATGAAAATAATGGTGATGATGGTTATGATGCTACTGGTAATGATAACAGTTATAAAGAATAGCAATAATAATAATGATAACTATAACAGTAATGATTATAATAAAAAATAATGATAACGATAATAACAATAATATTAAGGATAATGACAATGATGATGATAATGATAATAATGATATTGATAATCGTTATTAGTATTTTTATTAGTAGGGTAAAAAATGCAATCATAAAAAAAAAATCCTGGATTCGGATCATTATCTGGATCATCATAAAAAAATAATTAAAGTGATAATGATGACAATGATAATGAAAATGATACAGATGATAATGAAAATCATATTCACAATACCGGTGATAAGAATGATAACAATAATGATAATAGCAATGATGATTATGATAATAATCATAATGATAATAACAACATTAATACATAATGATAATAATGATTATATAATGATAGTAATGATAATAATAATTATAATAACAATGATAACGATAAAAATTATAACAGTAATGATAATAGTAATAGTAATAATAACAATAATAATGAAAATAAGGATGATAATAAAAACAACAATAATAACTATGAATATAAAAAGAATATCAAGACCAACAAAATAGCAATAATTATGATAATACCAGTAATCACAACAATAATAATGATAATGATTATAATACTGATAATAACAGTTGTGATTTTCCTGTATTTGTGTGTTTTGAACAAGAATAAAACCATTTTTATCAAAGGAAGTTAATCAAGAATTAACGAAAATAATGTATAATGAATGAACCTTAAGCAAATATAACAAAGCAGGAATGATTAATGATAAACGAATATGATAATTAACGAACACAGAGTTACTTAATCTTCATAGACCCAAAACACGCATCGATTAAACCCATCATCATCATCATTATTTTCATTGTTTTCACTATAACCATAATTATTTTTTACCATCTTTGTACCGAATCATTTTTTTACCATCACAGTTGCATCTGGTATCGAATCGCCTTAGAAATTTCAATGTTG